CTTGTAGATTGGGACAATTAGCGACTGAGACCAGTCAGATGGGATTACGTCCAGTTCCCAGATTCTACCTAGGATCTCGGTCAGTCTAACCGTTAAAACTGGACCACCATCCTTAAACATCTCAGGGGTAAGCCTATCGGGACCTGCCGCTCTACCTCTCCTTAGATTTCCTATAGCTTTCTCAACTTCATGTAAACTGGGAGGACTTAAATCGATTTGCCATTCAGGATGACTGGAGATCGTGGGCAACCGAAGAGTGGCTGAAGGCCAGTTGAACTGATCCCTAAAGTGTTCTGCCCATCGGTCCAGCCTCCTAGATTGAGAATGGATAATAAGACCATCCTTTTCCGAGATAGTCTCACTTACATTCGGATTCCTAATACCGGTTTCTTTGATAAGGCGGAAAAGTTGTCTAGTGTTGCCTATCGCCGCTGCCTTTTCCATCGCTTTTGCTTTCGCCACCCACCACTGTTCACGGTCGTTACGTAGGCTTTTTATAAGTCTGCACCTAAGCTGACTACGCTCTTCATCATGTTCAGAGTCAGGTGGAATGCGTTTTCGAGCATCCATCAGTTCGGTAGATGCGACTGAGATCCACGGCTTCATCCTAGCCTTACGGTTTACCTTGCTAGCAGATATCACTGCTGTTTCCACAGCCTTTTTGATATCATACCAACCTGCTTCAGGATGGGAATCACTTGCATGGCCGCCTAACTGTTTTTCTAGTTCCTCCTGAAATATTTTCTTAGCTTGATTATCATCAAGTAAAGCCCTAAGAGGCTTCCTTACGGTGTCTTTCCTACGTCCAGCAAGCCTCAAACAAATACGTGCTCGCACTAGGGCATGATCTGAATCTAAACATGTGCCCCAGAACGAGCGACAGTCCTCTATCGAACCCCTCCATCGGTGGCTGATGGCGATATGATCTAGTTGTGTCCAACGTTGAGACGACTTTGGGGGTCGCCAGGTCAAAAGGTGTTTTTCCTTATGCTTAAAATTAGTGTTTGCTAGAAATAGTTGGTTATCTGAGCACAGTTGCAACAGACGGTCGCCATTGTCTGTTCTTTGAGCCGCGAGACCGTAACATCCACCTAGGTGTCTTTCATTTTCACTTAGTCTACCTACTTGTGCATTGAAGTCACCAGCCATTATAACTATATCAGAGCGCTTAACTTTTTGGAGGAGGTCCGAAAGCTTTCTGTAAAACTCATCTTTTACATCATCTGGGCTGCAGTCAGTGGGGGCGTAGGCTGATATGACGAAGAGGCAACGGCGAGTGTCCCTATCTTTCCGACTCCTTATTGTCCCGTTGAGTCGGACGGCGCACAAGCGACTATCTACAGGGATCCAGTCAAGGAGAGATTGTTCTGCCCTACGACTCAATGCTATACCTACACCGGCGAGGCCCCTAGAAGCAGCATCAGGGCTACCGGATACACGAAGGGTAAATCGAGCTGCTTCTTTATCTTGACATGGTGAGGTCAAATGAGTGATGCTACTCGGATCCTGTATGCGCGTTTCCGAGACGCAGCACACATCGATGGAACGAGATTCTAAAGTCCTTGCTAATGATGCCTGTTGCCCTATTTGACACAATGTCCGTACATTGAATGCTCCAACATGTAGTTTGGAACGGGGTTTAAGGAGACCAGGAACGACGTTTCGCAAACTCGCATCGTTTGCATTAGCTGTGCACTGTAATAAATGAATGTGAGAAGAGTTAGTTGTGGAGATAAGAGAGGTATTAGGGAATGTAGGAAGGATTTGATTTTGATTTTGAACAATTTTGTCTCGTGTGCTGTTGCGGGTATGAGGGCGGTTATCACTTCCCGGCTGCCCACACCGTGGAAGGTTGTTTCTTGACGAACCTGAAAAGGAAGATGGATTAGTGTTGGTGCGTGACCGCAGAGTCCAAGGGACAACTGCTTGAGGCCGGTCACGCACGGCCTTTTTATGAGAGGTATTTAGAGGATTAGCTCCGTTCTTAAAGGCCCTTAGTGGGCACCCTTACCCAAGGAGACGGAAATCCGTGAGTTAGGGGAGGTGTGACATTTTTAGGGTCGACCTTTTCTAACCCTTCCTTCCTTGTGAGAAGGCAGCATCGCTGCAGATGCTGGTTGTCCGAGGGAAACACCTTACTGCTGTCACACCCCTTTGCAGTCAGCAGTACGACTTCGCCCTCAGACCTTGGGTAGCTGCTTTTAGTCTCATCGTTCTCCAATCGACCTACCTGGCATGGTAGGACCTGCAGGAACATGTGTTCCAGCCAGTATAGCTCGGTTGGGTCATCACGATAGGCAAGCCCGACCACCACGTCAAGGTAGCAGCTTCGGTCGGGAATCATCTCAGAATAAGTAAATGTAACAAAATGAGCATCTAGGAAATTTACCTGGTGTACATCTGCCTCATTTGTTCACTACCTGACTGCAAAAAATAAAACATTCGCACCATTTTTGTAAATCATATCAAATTTAAGTTAAAAAGTCTCATTATGGAGCACCAGTCGATAATAATTTTACTCACAACGTGATATTATTTATTTCAGAAAGACTTATCTGGTGATTACATAGTTGCCAACGCTTCTGATCGGATATTACACAGACCTTTTTTGAGATTATCTACTGGCGAGGTAAGCAGTTTGGAAGTTTGCTTACTTTTAAGTTACCTCCTCCGAATTCCGATGCAGTTCTTAGGATACAGAGGAAAGAATACAATTTGAGTGATGTTCGTGCTACTTCTAGAAAAAAGTGTAAGCATTTTTCTGTCTACTGTTGTTGTAATTTGTTTTATCACAAAAATAGTTCGTTGCAATTTCAAACACTTTGATTGTTTCTGTTATTTGTGTCATTTTACTAAAATACTCAGTTTTACAAGTAAACTATTCAATATCTACTAGTCGTAACCACCCTTCTTTTTTAAGTCCAATTCATTCACGGGTAGAATCGTAATTAGTTTCGCACTTTCATCATTGCATCACTTTCATTCAATGGTCCTGCATGTTTCAGTTTATAAACTGTTTTCGCTCTAAACTCTTGCTAATAAAATTATCATAGACAACCATCGAGGGATGACTTGGCTTCAAATTAAGATTAAATTTAGTATATTCTTACTCTCAATTGATTTTCCGACTTATGCCTAGTTCTAAAATGTAGCGTTAATGTATCTACTTTGAAAACTTATTTTATGGGGTTATCACTGTCAAATGTTTTATATGAAAGTCAGGGAGATAAACGTACAACGTATGTGTCAATCCTAATGTGGGGAAGTTCACTGTCAACTTGAATGTGCTGAATAAATTCATTAAATACCAAATATTTTTGAAACTGGGAAAAATATTTGATTTACCTTTAATTGAAGCTGCGCTAGTGAACTAAGCTGTTAGTAAAACTAACCGTCATATTTATTGTAACTAAGTTCTTGTTTACTTCTCAGTACAATCATATTACTATGGAGTGTAATAACTATTAGTTAAAATTTCACGGGGTTTATTTTCTGCTTAATAGTTAGATATTCATCAACCTTGATGGATACTTGGCAAGAAAAATCCTCTGTAATGAGGTAAGTGGTATGTATATACTGCATACTTTGCTTGTTCTGGATGGTTGTCGCAAAATGATTTGTATGGTTTTGTTCTCATATATATACTTATCTTTTTCCTTGTAGGGTTGAAAAAGCAATTAATCTCATTGATTAAAGCTGTCTCTACCTGTGTTCGAAATCGTCAAATTCAGATTTTAGAGGACAAACGAAACCTTTTATTGAACAAGGTTTCCAAGACATGTCAGAAGCAACCAAGTTCTAAAACATCGCATCTAAACAATTCTGTATCCTCTGTGAAATCTAGCCATTCTCTTCTCTCTGAACTCCAAGATTGTGAATCAGAACTATACCAGATTCATCTTTTGTCTTCAACACCTCCAAAGTGGTTAATTTCAACATTGGCATGCATGGCATTCAATGATTCTGGTGGGTGTATCCCTCAAGATATCTTTAAGAAGAATTATGGTCACAAACTTAGCAATGAAAGTTCTTACAACCAGTCTGCTCGAATTTGGTATGAATTGCTTTCATCAGCTGATAGCATTATTTCTCCGTCTGATTGGACTGAAATAGCAAATTTAGAGGTAAAATTTCATTCAGTGTTGGTGTAATATCGGTAATGTGTTTAGAAACGTTAAAAATTGTGTCATCGAACACTAATATTTTGCTTATATGTTGTAAGTATTCCCTAACCTACTTATGTCTAACTTGAAAACTTTACAGGTTATCCAAGAATTGGTAACTTAGTCATACGAGATATTAAATATTCATGTTGGTAAATTTGTGGCGATCAATCGAGTTATAATGAAATGATTGGTGAAAATCAAGTGCGTTGACCAAGACCTTGGAATATTTTTGATTTTACTTATCCCATATGTCTGGTATACTAGCACAACTCACCTTTCATACTATAGCATAAAACTATTATAGTTATGAATTAGTAGATTTGTACAGAGTTTACATTTCGCATGTTGGATTATAGTATCCGTTATTGTGACAAACCTAGTACTATCAGAATGATATCCTGAACGTTTTTTGACAAACCATTACCAAAATGGATAACAATGAGAAAATTGTCCATAAAACGTGCATCTGATTTTATCTTGTGTGAAAATTAAGTTTCTATTGTTCATTGTATTGAAGAACTTATATACAACTCGGTTAACCATTATGTTAAGTAAGTTATCCTATATTCTTTAATGAATCTTGCACGATCATTCCAGAAGTAATTTTGAGCTAGTCCACAGGTCGTCATGCGCAGTGTAGCCAGAGTCAGACTAAGCTATCTGGCTTGATAAACATTATATATTTCTGAAACATAAATTAACATCGTTAGCATACAAAAACAGAAATTTATAGTAAAATAGCAACATATACCAAATAATAACTAGACAGAAGAAGTGGGTCAGCAAACTTTAATATTGTTTATGAAAAGCATGTAAGATTTGCGAATACATAGTCATATAAGGTCAAAGCGATTCAAGATGTTTGGCGTTTAATACTGTCACTAATGGGTTCACTTATCAATTACACCTAACATCCCCCCTGAAACAGTCAGTGTGCCCATCGTCCTGAGTTATCGTCATCAAACAACTAGTTTTTCTGAATGAGCATTAGTTTTTCGTATCAAATCATTTCTTCAGTTGTGGCTCTCAATTTCACCCGCTGGATGCGTTGATTGGGCTGTAGCTTACTTGCTCCAGAGCGGCTTCAGACTACAGACTCCTAGATGCCTCAACATTGTCAACGAAGACTAGGTTACCTGGATGTACATTTTTTCGAATGCCCAGTTGTTTTCCTCTTGCTTGAAGGGTAGGTAAATATTCTCATATTCATCTGTCTTAGAATACAGTAGCTAACCTGTGCACTTTCCACCCATCTCATTAAACTTCTAATGATAATCTTTTATGAATTAATAACAACTTATTTGGAATAAGTGTATATATGGAGCCACATTCCTGAGCGGTCTGTTCTTTATTGTTTCGGCCTTGGAAAGGTGTTTTCGATGAGAACACTTTTACTCCATAACTTGTTACTCTTTTCCCTTTCCAATAGACTTCCAACTTTTGTTTTTGTATACTAACGTTGTTAATTTTGTGTTTTAGAAACGGATAAAATTTATCAAGCCAAATAGCTTTCTTGTTCTGCCTTTGGCTACACTAAGATTCCGTGCTCTACAGCTTAAGGACTAGCCTAAAATTGCTTCTGTAGCAAATCAGATCCTACAGTTAGTTCTGATGTTTCGCCCGTAAGAACTGTAGTAGTACCCAGGTTTCTGGGGGAGTGTAGCTTTAAAATCGAACCTTCTCTTCTGCATTCAGTCCTTCATAAGTTTAGTAAAACTTGCACAGTATCACACCAGCCAATATCCAAATACTCTACTGGGGAATGATTCATTGATCATGTCACTCTTGGGTGACAGGACATTCTCACTTTATCACACTGTGTAGCAACCTATTTTCCGATCACAATATAGCCCTCATTTTAGAAAGCGACAAAGTGTTTTGGAATATTCGCTAAATTGTTAGTGTCTGTTGAAGTAGAACTGGACAGTTTTTTGGGAGGACTGTAAGAGTAATCAAACTGCTCTTTATGGCTTTCTACCCTCCATTCACGGGCATGACTCCGATCTTATAGTTCCAATGAATTGAAACACGACCCAGGAATAAACGGGAGTTTACTCTGGTTCAATTTCAGAGACGCCTTCTAAATATGAGATTTTACGGTCCTTGTTTGACCACCTTTATTTCCCGATTCATGATTTTATGATTTGTGGATAACCAACAATACTGTCCGGGTTTAAGATCGAAGCCGAGGGTTTTTCTTGAGGTTCACCCTCTGAATATGTAAAATGTATTAACTACTGTGATAGCACTCGTCCCCTACAGTAAGTTCATGCTTCAGGGTACTGCACCAGTTGAAAAAAAGTAAACTCATAACTCAGTTTATTAGTTGTAAATAATAATTGCAGAATTTAGATCTTACAATATTTGGAAATTATGTTCATTCTGTAAGTGATTGGTTAATAATCGCTAAATGATATTCAGCCGAATTTCTCAAAATCTGACGAATAATCATCCTTAATTAAACGTATTGACAAATAGTTTTGACCTGTGTTTTGTACAAATGCACATCTGTCGTCTTTATAATGTTTATTTCACTCTGTCTAGTCCTAGTATGAGTCCTTGTGGGTTACCCGTATATAAGAAAACTAGTCATCTTATGAAAACCGATACTCTATTCCGCTTTAATTTCTAGTCAGAATAACGAAGCATTCGTTAATTTCATTTAAATAAATCTTGTTAGGCTAGCTGGAAAAATATCTAAATTAAGTGAAAATCGAGTTTATTTTTACTTTTCATTATTCGAATTGTTGTTTAAGTAGATTAGATTATTTTAATATTATATGGAGTGTTTGTTTAGTATCGGTTGATTTCTTGATTACCTCATGGCTTTATTCATTACAATCAAAACTATAAAAATGTTACCACTAATAATTTTCTCATGTCTACTAAATCAACCATTTTTCAAACCTAGATTGGTAAAATGATTCTTGCTGATTGATGAGTATTTTACACATCTTGTAGTGTATGGTGGACATTTTTGATGTGGATTCAACATTCAAAACAGTAAAGTTGTGCAACGTTCTCAATAGCAATATGTTGTCATCATAACTTGTTCATAATTCCAATTGGTTATTACGAAAAATGGACATGATAAAAATGTCTATAGTAATATAACTCAGATCTGATTAGAATAATTAGCTCTATGGAAGCATGTTTCTTATGAGCACTGGGAGATTTTGAGTAGGGCTTTACACATCTGTATACAGATTTTTCGTAAGAATAATATCCTTAAATATTTTCTCTAATATGAATTGGTCAGTTGCTGTTGAATCTTTTCAGTTGTTTGGACACACATGATTGGTCATTAGTCCAGATGTCCTCTCTTTCTGGCGATGCCTTCTTAATATACGTTGTTTCGAATAACACTTATCTGCTTGATAAGATTTTGAGAGCTACTTTTAACACTTCAATCTGTGTAAAGAATGATTTATCTATGGAGAAATGTATGAGAAAAACAACAATGAACAAAGAATTAATAGATATATTGTTATATGAAACTGTGTAAACTAACAAATAACGAGTCTATATTTTTACATGATTCAACCGTAGAATTACATGTTTCATTCTCATTCCATATACATTTTTGTTCGCTGTTTTTTCCCGCGTTTAAATGACATGATGTTGGTTCATTTATTTATTAAGGCATTCATCTTTCAACTACTGAGTCACGAATATATGTTTCGGTTTGCATATTTCGTCTATTTATTGGTGCTTGATTTCTTTCTTCGAATTATGCAATACACATTTGAATATTTTACTTAAAGTTCCTAATAGTTTGATTTTCTAAAGCTTATTACAGTCAAGCCTTTAATCTGAACTATTTTCATGTAACAGTGCTTAATATTTTTTAATAATTAGTAAGGTTCGCGTAACTGCTTACATAGATATTGTGCTCAAGAATAAATAGTTCTATGCTAAAGTAACCGTGTTTTAAATTCCTTATTTGTTTGTAATTGATTTTTCTATAAATCTTAGTTTAAAAAAATCTACTTTGTCTTGTTCCATTACTTTTTAGAGTAGAACATGTATAAGTGATACTAATGCTCGATTAACATGGATTCATCGTCTACAACCTAATACTAATCGTTCTAAATGGTCTATTGAAGAAGACGAACGATTAACAGATTTAGTAAAAGAATTTGGTGAACATGGTCGTTGGGAAGAAATATGCAAAGCATTAAACACCAACCGTACTGCTTTTGTATGTTTTCAACGTTGGCAAACTGTTCTGAATCCTAATTTTCGCTTGGTAATTACTTTCATTTTCAATAGTGTATATATATATATATATATAAAACAGTAAACTTGTCACAATGAAGGCATTTAAGATGAATCAAAATGTCACTGTTCAGGAGGTATGCCATTATGAAAATTCGATTTTATGGTGAGAAAATGGAGGTTGAATTATTTGGAACTCTCTTCCCTTTATGACGAAGCTTTCGTTTGATCGGAATTTTTGCAAAAAACAAAACTACATGGTAGTAGTCTAGTTCTCAAAAGTTATTAGCAGCTCCAAAATTCTAGAAAGATCTTGTTGTATTTAATGTAGTACAGCTGTTTTTGACATACTGTTCAAGTTCGTTAGATGCTTAGTTGCTGTATAATCATTCAACCTGTCAGTGTAATTGACCAAAACATATTGTGTAAAATTAAATGAAATTATCTGAAGAAGTATTTGTTCACTGATTTGTGTCCTTTTTTTTATTTTCCCTTTTAAAGTATAACTGATTTCATTACTTTTTTTTTGAAATATCAATTTCCATTTCTCTCTTAGCAAGTAGTCTAATGGTCTTCTACATTCACTGCATGAATTAAAAAATTTATCCTATGTGATGAGAATCTTTTGCGGTAAAATTATTATGTGTACATTCATTCTACACAATAAACTGCCTAAAATCGCCGTTGCCTCCAGTAATAATCTACATTTCAAACACAAGTAAATGGATCTAGGTTCATTTTTATAGTTGTACAACTCAAGTTTATTTCATGAAATTATTGAGCCGAAACTAATTTCGAGAATTTATTTATCACTAAATTCTTTTATTTTTTTTGAAGAACACGTAATTGAGCAATAACATAAATTCATTTTATTTCTCTACGTTTTCTTATCAAGTGTTTACAACCTGTAGTGTACATGAGAAAAAAAACTAATATTATAAACAATATCTACATTTAAAAACTACTACTTCACTATAACAATCTGAGTGAGTATAAGCATAAATCATCGGTAATAAAATGAATACAGTTTTCAAAGACAATTGAATAAATATTTGAAATAAAAATTACTACACTGTGATTGACGATTTACGTATAACGCCAAGATAATGATGCACATTTGTTTTAAAATATCATCTTAATTATGTGTTTTTTGTTTTTTACAATTACTAAAATTTGTATTGATCGGTCGATTGTTTCTCAAGAATCGTCCATGGTCCACTTCAGAGGATATTGCTTTAATTGATATCTTGAAAAATTTACTTCAATTCTATTCACCCGGTCTAATGGATTGGGATGTTGTTTCTGCTTATCATTCAACTCGATCAGCTAATGAATGTCGTTCACGTGCACCGATTATTTGTTCAGCATTTAAAAATGTCAACCCAAAAGTACAGACAGTTCTAGACCCATACATGAGTCAAAGTATCAATCATCAAGTATCTTCTGTATACGATCCATTTTCGCTTGCTGAAGATTTACAACTTTTGATGGCCGTCCAAAGGTATGGTATTGCTGGTGGACGTATTGGTCGTGGTGGAGGTATAGGGATAGGTTCTTGGGCATTGGTTACTACTGCTTTACCAGGTCGAAGTGCATCCTCTTGTAGAAAACGGTACATAGAACTGTGTGAGCAATTCCAACCGTGGACATGTTATGAAGACCACAAGTTATATCATTTAGTTCTCAGTTATGGACCGTATACTTCCATGGGATGCTGGAGAACTGGTCCAAGTTTACGTAAGTGTTAGTTTATCTTTCACTCAGGCTACACTAAATCGTATTTCTTTAATTATTACTCTCTTCTATAAAAAATTGTTATTTGTGGGATCATAATGGTTTCAAATTCAGCTGAGTGAGTGACTTGTTGAATCCTAGTATAAAAATGAAGGAATTTCTTGGGGTACAGTACTATTGTCACAAAAATATTTTACAACCTCAATCGTTGAGGTAACTGAAAGTGAAGGAGCTGAAAAACATTACAATTACAAAAACCGATTTAATGAATACACTAAATTAGAAGTAACTTAAAAATGCTAATAAGTTAAAATTACTTTAATAAACAAATCTAACATTGCAATTTTACATGAATTACTTAACATGCTATACTACAAATGATTGAAACTAAATTTAAAATAATATAAAACAGTGTAATGTGTTATGAAAGATTTCCAAAATCAGAAATCAAAGTAAGAGGTATGAGAAACCATATATTTTTCCTTTGGAAAAAATCTTTCAATTACAGGTATGGAAATAACGTTGATAGAACACTGATTCTAACCTACAAGCTATAGTTATATGAATGAAACATTAATGTAGCATGATTTATGCTAATGCCTTAAACAAAAAAGAAGTACTGTTTAACAGCATTAAAAAAACTAAACATTCCTATATTCTGAACTAGAAAAAGATATATGAGCGAACAATATTGCTTTCATTCAGATCCTTATCAAGCCTTACCCTGATCAACAATAATATATGTTTATGTGAAATTATTCAACTAATCAACGTAGTGTATGAGTCAGTGATAACTGTGGGATAGATGATATGGTAAAAGTATTAATAACTTACAGCCTTGAGATAACGCCTTAGATCAAAGTTTATCGTTGCTCAGTTACTTCATTGCTTTTTACTGTTAATGGTTTCATAACTAGACAGCGTCTCTTGATTGGCTGATAGATCGATCAAGGTCGTCAATTTATTATACTTTTACCAACTACATGACTAAACAATAAGTAAAATGTACAAATGAATAGTATGACTAAAAGGGTGCTAGTTGTGGTAAGAGTAATTAAGTACTAAATCAACGTTTCCCTAGAGAAAGTAGACGATAGATCATTGACATCAAGTCAACATTCATAAGATGCCATTAAAATTACATGATTTGGAGTGTTTGAATATTGATCAAACAGTGAAGAGAAATACGAAAAAGAGATGAAGAGAAATAAACTAACATAAGATATTGAAAACAATGGTAATATTAAGTAAAATTGGTTTTCTAAACCTAGTATACAAGAGACAATTTCAAACCGTAGTAAAAACTGAATTGAGGACAATATTGCTCGCTTATTCATGTTGTTCTAACTCTAGATTTTAAAGTTTTCATCACTATAAAGTGAGTTTTTGTCCTCTGTTGATAATAACTGGAGACCCTTTCAAAATAAAACGGCTGAATATCATTTTTATTTATCCAGTTTTGGACATCCTACTAGTATCTATTTACGATGCATGGTGCAA